TATTAACACTTAGATGTTTGTGACGATTTATTAAATTCTGTTAAAACTGTGTTTATAAAGACGTTGAGTGAGGTAATAATACACTTCCAGAAAACAGCAAAGCTCATACGTGAAATGGTCACCTGACCTCTTTTCTGGCAGTCATGTTGCTTTTAAACAAGGCAGGAAAAGCAGCAAAACTACATAATCAAACACCCTTTTTTCAGACGATGAAAAGATCATTTTATAAGTCTGTTCCAGTTAATATCAAATTAGTGATAGGAAATTTTAGGTCCATAGAAAATTGAAAGTTTCACTAAGCATTTAAGAGTATCAATGTGTCCAAGCCCCTGATGAGTAAATGTAAAAAATAATTGACACAGCAAATAAATGTTTAAGAGTTTTCTGGCATATTTTCACATATCTCAAAGGTTCAGAGAGAAGAGCATACAGTCTGAAGGGTTAAGGCTTGTCTTAAAGTATGTAACTTTATTGTTTGCCCAGCTCATTTCAGCTTGTGGCCTTCATTACAGTCCAACTATTAAGCTCTTCTTTATACCACAAAGATTGCTTGTGGTAGCAGAAATAAACATTTACCCACCTCTGACTGTAATTTATTTTCAGTACATTAAAATCCTGGAGCTTAATTTCACATCTTAGTTTTATTTCTGTAAAAGTTACAGTCTTTTAATGGCTTTTCAGCAGCAGTTTTCTGTCATATTTATGTGACTGCTTCCTATGGAGTTGTGTGGAAATTATGCAGTGAGTTGAGATGAATGAACTCCCTTTTAACTACTTCATACTGCACGTTCATTTTGTCTGTATCTGTGAATTAGAGCAAGTGCTTTGCCGTCTTTATGGTAGACCTGTTTCTCAGGACCAAGATAATATATTTCCCAATGGTTTTGGCTGTAGTTCAAAACAGTAGTTAATGCGTCCATATTTTGACCTCATGCGTTTTTGGTAAATTAACTTTTACAATCAAGGGGTAATATTTCTGGTAAGGAGTACATGGACCACCTCAATTTCCAAAATAAATTAGACAAGCTCTGCTTTTACTGCGTCATTAGACAGAGAAGGAGACGAAGGAAGAGAGTGGAAGAAAATCAGAACCTAATGAGAAAGGAGTAGAGGAGAGAAACTGGGTTTATAGAGTGTGAGAGAACATTAAGAAGGTTTTAACTTTGCAGGTGCTCATTGCTTGAAACTCTTTGTTAAGGTTAAAATTGATGATGAAACAGAAAGGAAAGTTAAACACTACCGCAGTCATTTCTGTCTGCCAGCTACTTGATGCCAGCACAGCTCAATAGTTCTGTTGTAACACATCAGCAGACATAAAGACCTTTGAAAGAGAGTTTCACTAGATTTCACGTTTTAAATGAAGCTGTGGGCAGCGTCAGACAGCTAATAATGCAAAAATACTATGATATATTTCAAGATAATCCAATAACACAACAATATTGTAACAATGTAGTTAATAAAGAACAAGTACAGAATTCATCTGGAACAGTTTGATGCATCATTCAAAAGTACTTCCCTAATAACTGTTAAAGAGGGGTCTAAAATGTTCTGTACATCAGAATGGTATAAGATCCAAATATAAATGCTTGCATGGTTGTTTGCCAGCTTTAAGTCATAGTCAGAATCATGTAAGTGGAGCATTTACACACCTGAGTCATTATTTATACACTGGGTTCAAACTGCTGAATAATCACAATGAGCTCTATCAACAATCAAGAGGGAACTTGATAAAGAATCAATAATCAATAATATCTTTTCATTATCGACCAATACGTCATAGACAGTGAGTATGTAATAGAAAATAACTAATTACTAGAGATCAAAGTGAGAGACACTACATTAGTGAATCTTTAGTTAATGATTAGTTCATAATTATCCTGCCATAGAGCACAATGATTCATTTTATTCATGAGTCATTTATAATTAAGCCTGTTGCAAACAATGAGCCTCGCAAAAGACTAACTACTCGTTATTACTAATTTCTTTAACAAATGTTATTCTTTCTATCATGAGTGTCTGTCAGACTTGTTTCACTTCATCCACATGTCAATTTGATTTCATGTGGGCTACGCTAGTAAAACCATTCCATAATTATGGGATAAAAACACCTCACACCCCATTGTCTTAAAACTTTTCAGGCAGCAGAGGGCATTATTTCTTTTTTAATTGTTTTCTATTATTATATAGACAAGTCTGAGATGTCTCAAAAAAATAAGTGCAGTTTGAAAAATAATATTTTAGTTTTTAAATTAAGTAAATTAATGCACATTTGATGTGCATTAAAAGAATACAGTAGAAAGGCGCAAAACTTTCACATGTAGAGTTTCTGTAAATAAACCAAACTAGTATTTTTTAATACAGCAGCCCATTTTACACTTTGCAAAGCCAAACACCAGGCCAGCTCAAATGATAGCCTTTATAGCTGTGAAGGTACCATGTGGCACAATAAGAGGAATAAATACCTGTTTAAAAATAATGATGGTAGGTAGGCAGGGTGTATGTAAATGTCTGAAGGATGTTGGTAACCCACAGTGAGCCTCTTGATTTCACTTCTGTAAATACAAGTGGAAACAATTTGGAAAAAAACAAAGCTTTTTGGTACTGAATGGGTGAAGAAGGCACATTATTGATGTTGATTTGGGGGTTTTGTTACATAAACAAAGGACTGATGATGAAACCTGAATGACAGAACTGTTGGTTGCCACTCTGAACAGATATGAAATCTGTCTCACCAATAAGGGCAACATCTCTGGTTCCTTGGTGTCAGAAGCCTACTGGTTCTCTCTTCTCCCCATCAATGTTATTGTAGATGTGTGTTTCAGGGCACATGTAGACTTGATTGACAGCCATTAACCACCCGGTAGGGCAGAATACCTGCAGGCTTTGGACACCCAGAAGGACAGCTTCAAGCCTGTGAGACAGACAAATTCACACTGGCTCCTAGAACAGGAGCTGCGCTCTAAAGGGTCTGTTTCAGAAAAAACAGAGGGATGTACTATAATTCATAAACTACCGAGGAGACAGGCAGGAGAGCAACAAAAATATTTGTCATCAACGCTTTCTGTTTTTCACCCCGGGCATCTATGGCTACTGTATGAAGGTAGAGAGGACGGGTTCATGATTGTTGTATGCAGAAAACTCAAAACCATTGCTTTTGTTTGTTTTGTTTTTGAGATGTTTCACTAATGCAAAATAATCTTCTGAAGATTTGGAGGGTTTTTAACATTGACAACTACAAAAAAAAATTTGCTACCGTTCCTAAATTATTTTTTTATTCTTGCGCCACAAAAGTAAACAGCATACTAAACATGTAGAGAGGCTGTTAAAGGCAGTTTACATGAAGGAAACCCAGAGTATCAACACCTCCTATGTGGAATTCAAGAAGGTGCATTTTTATGGACTTCCAGAGAGGACATACTCCAGGTTCTAGGTAATTTAACATAAAGTTACATAACGTGATATACCAGAGAACCTACCCAATAAAGTGTCCAGTTAGCGCCTCTAGTTCTTTAAAATAGTAATCTTGCACAAAAGGGCAGTGTTGTTGTTGTTTTTCCAGTGCTTTTTTTTTTTTACAGCAATCTAATGCCGCTTAGTCTTCGAGTTGTGATCGAAAGCGGAAAATATGAAACATATTGCTGTAACTGCACTTTTTCCTAAACCAGGCAGTTGATCATGTGTTTGATGAGTCATTTTCTTATGCTTTTTAGCTTATATGGTCTCACTTGTCTTGAGATGAAAGCAGATCAGTCTATGTAACACACAAAGTAAAGTTTTATCCAAAAATAAGCTTTCAATAAACAGTAACCAGATATGCAACAGGGTTTAAGCTGTTTTGTGTTTGCGAAATATGCACTACATAATGTTGTTTAAAATTATGTAAGCCAAAAGGACACAACATGCAACTAAAAAACAGTGTTGGCTTAAATAAGCTTTGAGTGTAAAATTTAGTACAATCAACTACAAAGAAGCTTTTTAAAGTGAAAATGTATCTTTTTATTGGTACCATACATTAATTATCAAGGGCAGAAACTAACCAAATCAAAAAAATATATATCAAACAATGATTTTCCTACAGGGTCTGGAGAAGGTACAAGTCACCATTCAAACTCAGTCATAACTGCTGCTGGATTCAACAGTAACAAAATGGAAATGTACAAAACAATGACAGAGCTTCAGCTGTTCATTTATTAGACTTTACAGACTCAGCATTGCTACCAAATATGCAGACTGAACTCAATGTGAGGCTGGTTTAAGAAGATGTGTATGATTCTGGTTATGAATACAAATAAAGACAATTTAGACAGAAAACTTCTTAAAACAAAAAATCTGTTTAGCCAGTGACGAAACATGAAAGTCACCGGATAACTAAAGTTCAGCGAGCACATTCACTTGACATCAAGTTGTAATACACAAAATTGTGAATGTTAAGTGAAAAAAAAAATCACTTTCTGTATAGATGAATACATGACTGAATTTCTGAATAAATTAAAGAAAATAAACAGTAAAACCATCTCTCTATGGTGGCATTGTACCCCCAGGGGGAGTTGTAATTTACATTTTTAAAAAAGAGGGAGGAGGAAAGAGAGCAGGTGGGAAGGTAGAGGGGACGGGTTCATGAATTTTCTCCTTTTTCCTATTTTTGTTTCTTTACATTAGATTGGGATGGCTTTAGGTAAATCTAAGTAAGAATACATTTTATTACAGTCAGACAGAACTTTGCTACTACCTTAAATATACAAGCACAAATACACAAAAATTCAAATCTCAAAAGGAAAAAAAAAAAAAAAAAGGAACAAAAAGACAAAATAAAAACATCCACACTAAAGTATTTCTCTTTTATAAACATAAAAGATAAAAACAATATATTTTAGAGGGGGAAGGGATAAAAGTCCTGTGTTGCTCCTTGGTCTGTAGCTTTTTCAGTATTGGTAGAAAATAAAAAAGTAACAATTGAAATGAAGGCGTTTAATACAAATTAAAAAACATTCTAGGGAAATATATACTGTATAAAAACTCTTAAAATGTGTAACTGTGTGTGTGTGTGTGTGTGTAAGACTGTGCATGTGTGTGTGTTGTCAATGTTCTGTTTGAAAGACTGCATTCACTGTAGTCTAATCAGAGATATTTGGGCACTAGGGGGACTCAAAATCCTTCGATCATTATGTGTGGTTGTGTGTGTGCGCGCACGCGTCTGTGTGTTTGATGTTTCCCTAGTGCCACATTTCACCTCTCTTATTAGTGTGTTCATTTCAAATGGTTTTACATACCGATTCTAAATCCTGGTCCATCTGCTTCAGCAAAGCCACCATTAAACTCACGCTGCTGCTTTTCTCTTCTCAAAACTTTCACAAACACACACTCGCACGCATGCAAGCGCACACCCACACACACACACACTCTATTAACAAACGTTATGGGCGACCCGCACATCAGCAGAGCAGACCAGAATCCAGAGGCATGTTTAGCGTAGGAGTGGATGAGTCGTCCCTAAGCGACTCGCCACCATCTTGAAGCCCGACTGCCACCTTCCTCTCCACCCCACCTGTTCCTACATGTGAACTTCAGTATGGATACTTTAGCGTGCACAGTTCTCCCCTGGACTAAATCATCACTCGTGCTACCCGGTTGCCATCCAAAACTGAAAATTGGCAAGAGCAGATGGGACTTTTTGTCTATGAAATGACGAAAAGGGAGCGAGAGGTGGGACACAGTGCCTAATTATCAGGAAGTCACCGCAATAATCGAAGTTGTGAAACTTCCTCCAGCTCGGCAAAACAGTCCGAGCCCCCTCGGGCTACCTGTGCTTGAATCTGAGCGCTACAGTGGTGTTTGGATTGGAGAGCAGATGATGGACTGTTACTGTTGCAGTCATGGCTATTGAGGTGGGGTGGGGGCCTAGGAGTGACAGGGAGGGGTTAGGTTGAGGATGCGGGGCTCTGGGCTCTACTGTGATGCCTGTGAGGTGGGGTTGTCGCTCTTGCTCTCCTGGCTGGAAGGAGCCTTGTTGTTCCAAGGCGAGTTGGAGCCCAGCGCCGGAGAGTTGTTGAAGCTGTCCTCGTCATCTATGCCATTGGCAGCGTCGAACTGTGTGTTCTCCAGCCGTGTGATCAGACGCTCATCCTCGTCGCCGAACTCCCCTCCCATCAGAGTGGGCTCTCCCACCACCATCACATCCTACGGAGTTACAAAACAGCACAACAATCAGACCACATGAATATCTTAGAACAGATGGCATACGATTTTATATCATACAAGCGATGCATTTAGTGCCTCTGAATCCCCCCCTGTAAAGCCACCTCTCATTTGCACCTGCTGTAGTTTTGGCAGGAACTTTGACCAACCAGCTGTTAATAATAAAGATGTATTTACTGTTAAAACACTTGCTCTGACCTGATTACAGTCAAGCAACATCTAAAATGTTAATTCCAAAAGTAATGGCTATAGACTAATGACAACAACTGAATTTAAAGAAAATTAATACATTTTCTACCATGAAAATGAAAGTATGGAACTCACCCAAAAGTCATAGCACAGTGCTTTTATTTTCCTGGGTTGCTATTAGTAACTTTTCCCGGCTATATTAAAAATGCATTAAATGGCACAAGTTTATCTTACAGTTAAACAAAACAAGAATGAACCCTGATGAGGTGTTTGCAAAAACATGAGAGGGTTTAAAAGTGACATTTGTACTTCTACTAGCTCAGTCAGTAACAAGATGTTTCAACTGTGTTTTAGTTAGGGTTAGGATTACAGAATCTGAGTCAGTCCTCATATTTTTGTACACAGAATGACTTTGGTTTATTGAGTCCTGCTTTTTTGTTGCCACGATTATCTGAACTCTCCTTAGCAAATCCATGGAGCAGTTTATCAAAGAGCAAAATGATAATGTCTGCTCAAATGATAGACACTAGATGGCACCAGAGCACTCACCGGAACTTGGCTGGACAGTGGGAAGCCACTACCAGGACTCTTCTTTTTGTTGTTGTTGTTATTGTTAGTTCCTCCTCCTCCACTGATGGTGCTGCCGCCTGACATCCTACGCTTCCGCCGTTTGTTAGGGGCTTGTCTTGATGGCTCAGCTACAGATAAGGAATAAAGAGAGAAAGTTACACATCCAGTTACCACATATCAACGTGTCTGCGTGTCCTATCTAATCATGCGGTTCACCTACCAGGTGGTGCCACCATCCTCTGCCATTTCTGGAACAGACAGGTCTTGAGGCAGTCTCTGGGGCTGAGGCTGTAGGTCTTGTGTCTGGACATCAGCTCCTGCATGGGCTCCAAAATCACACACAGCTAGAGGAAGGAACAGAGGAGATGCCACAGGTTAGTGATTACCCATTTTTCAAGGTAATTAGAGATGCTCCGCTTGATTTATTACCAGCATTATCAGCTGGTGTTCAGCATTATTAGCATCACTGGTTGACTTGAAAGTTTGAGATCAGACAATGCGATGGGATAAAACATCAAGCAAAACAATTTGTTATCACTTCGCGGCAACGTTAGAGTGGCTTAATCACTACAGAGGCATCTAAAGCTCATGTTCCAATCAATTTTCACATGGATGTGAGGTGGTGCTGCGTGCTGTGTTTAAAATGAGAGGCACGCCAGATGCAGAAAAACAAACAGCCTGCTAGTATCCAACTGGGCCTGTTTGTCAAGCATACAAGAACATTTAAAGCATTACTGTTCTGCAAGGGGATGTCACCAATAACTAAAGAGGCAGTATTTTTCTCATGTCTCACACACAAAATTTAATAAACAGCTGTGATTATTTGCACAGTCGGGTAGAGGATGAAGAGCCTTTTTTTAAAAGCAAATGGGGAAATAGCTGTTGAATGAAATGTAAATTATGCAGACATAGATGCTGGTAAAATGTTGCCAAGATGATGACTTATAATATCCCCTTAAAGTTTTAAAGGTTCCTGTCAACAAGCAGCAGCTTCACGCTTGTAAAACAAGAGATTCAAGCAAAGCACTGCTCTCCAGAGACACTACTAGTCAAAAACGCTCTACATACAGGGTCAGTTTTTAGTAATAAACCATTTCAACCATTCTTGTATCTTTACTGTACATGAACACAATGTGCTTATGTTGGTTGTCACCCCACAGGATCTGTAAAGCATCCAAAAATAAAGTCTCCAGTTTGTACACACCTTGACTACAAACTATATATTCATTTATAAACCAGAAGGTAATCATTCAAAGTGCTTTAAAAGCAGGAACTGCTCTGAACAGTCTTCTCACTCTACTCAGTGATGCTGTATATAACATATGCTGCTGTTTGGCAGGTTACTCAATGTCCCTAATTAACTGTTTAACATCCTGTAAAGTTTTCAGAGATGGAAATGTTTTCTTACGAAATTACATCTGGACCACGATCAAGACACAAGGAAAGAACATTTTTCCAAATCCAAATGTTGCACATGTACTGTACTCACTCGGAGGTAGTTGAGGGTGGAGTTCGACAGGCCACATCTTGTTATGTTTTTGGACAGCTGGTCCAGCATCTGAGAGTCTTGGGCCTGGAACATATGGAAAGGAGATTAGAAATCTAGCAAACAGCGTGTGCCGGTGTGGGTTCCTACTTCCTCTGCATTCACTCACATGCATGGCCAGTATACTACGAGGAATGAGTTCACGGTGTTGTCGGATACTGAAGTGCCACGTCTTTATCCTCATCATGTCGTCAAACATGAACTCCAGGTACAAGCGCCCTTCTACACACACCTGCAGAAGATCAGAGAACTGGAGTTAGTACACAACCGAAGAGAGACGAATAGAATCTATGCAGGAGTGGGTACATGTTTACACATTTAAAGATTAGTGTTTTTTGCAGCAGGGAATTCATTAAGAAATTTTTCGAAAATACTTTTTTAAATAATTCTTGTTATACAGAATATCAGATTCTCACTACACGAGTAGAACAAATCCCTACGTTGTCTGCAGAAAAGGACAATGATATGAGCCAAGTTCATGATCAACAAAGCTGCATGTTGCCTTCCATTTTTGGGACAGTAATTATACTCAAAATAAGAGTGGAGAGAGGTGGAAAGAGAAGGTCACATCTATCATCAATGCAATGTCAACCAAGTTAATAATCACTTGCAGAGAGCCTGGGACAGAGATTCTGTGCACGACAGAATGCACGAAACACTCATAAAATCTGATTAAAACGGCAACTAACCACGTCCTTAATGCTGTGGTAGCATGCAGGTAACTCGAGGAGACGACCAGTTTTTGATCTGCACAATCGGTTTTATTATTTTTTATTTTATTTCTAAACTTATGTATCTGTATGTTAATAAGAGGAAATATTCCTGATACGTTTATTTCAGGGACACGGCTCTAAACCCAGATGCTCCAATCTGCTGTTTGTAATGGACAGCCAATCAGATGAAAAGTGCCTTAAAGTGAGAGAAGCTAAATTTACATCTTATTGAGTATTAGGGCCAAATTAAGAAAAGAAACATGTTGATCACTTTGAGAATAAAGTTGAAATTTCGAGATTAAAGATGAGAAATAGTCAAAATGTGGCGATTACAGTTATTGTTTCAAGACAGATTTCTATACCCTTTCCAAAATGCCTTATTTAGATGAGTTGGTGAAACAAATTGATCAACTGTCTTGTGATACAGCATACATCCACTTTATTGGATGAGGGTGGAACTATTGATATCCTTGCATCTGTCCACTGCCAGCCATTACATTTTGTGCAAATCCACTCTTCCGAGTGTTTTTATTTTTCCTTCTGCAGCTGCAGCTTCCTGCACCACCTTTTTGACGTCTACGTGCTAAAAGAGAAATTGTTTCCTTCCTTTTTACTAAAGTTAATTATGAAGATTCCACCGACTCCATTTTTCTTGAAACAACTTTAATCTCCATATTTCAACTTTTGTCTCGAAATAGAATTACTCTGATGGACATAGACAGAAATTTCATCTTTAAATATCAGTTTTTAGAAGTACCAGCTGTATTTGTCCCCAATACCTCATTGTCCCCATCCCCTGCACATACACACCTGTGTGAACATGGGTTTTCCATTCTGTGTGACCATAGTGCACTGATCACAGTCGAGGGAGACAAAGTTATTGTGGAAGGACTCCTTGGGATGTTTCAGTACATAGTAGAGCTCAGTGGCACCGCCCTCAAATATACTCCGGAAGTACCTCGGGATTAACGTCCGGCCAATTGCTGTAAGAAGAAATCGGAATCTGAAAAACCTGATTCTGAAAATCTGAATCTGATTTGTGTCATTCAAACAGCTCCCTACTGTAACGTTTGGGTCCATCTTCCAGACAGAAAGTAATGGTCAGCATGGCATCGTCCTCAAAGAACTCTGTAGTAAATGCATCCCACCACAGGTTGTCACACTCCTACGTTGTAGAGAGGAGAAAGTTATCCATTAAACACCTTTTTGGGGGCGTTTAGCGTCAATGTATGTGGCTGTGTATGCACACAAACCTCTGTCCAGTTCTGTAGTCGTTTGTTGAGCTCATATATTCTGTAGTCTGTCTGGTTGCCATATGGTGTGTGCCTCCTGGAAGAAACAAATTGAAAAGAACACAAAAGCTGACAGTCATCAAAATGCAGTAGGGTTACAGCTCTCATAGACTCTTTAGATTTAGCAGGGTTTAACCCAGTTGAGGTTTACAGTCTTACTGCAAGATCTCTAGGCAATTAAGAGAAGGGAAAAAAAAATCTCACAATCTTATCTGTATTTGTATTACTACGGTTTTTAAACCTGCCTGGAATAATGGGAAACAATAGTAGTCTTACCCTATTCCTGGCTCCAGGTATGTGGGAGGGTACATTGGAGTGGGGCTGTAGAGAAACAGGAGACAGAGACATTATTACATTCAGCTATAGTGCTAATATGCTCTCCTCAAGGAGCTAGTCTGCCTTTACAACCCCGGGACATGAGCCAAACATGGCAAAAATTGGATGAGACGGTAAATATCAATTCTCAAATGCACAGACACAATCAACAACTGCAGCCGATTCATTTATTTATTTATTGCAAAATGACAACGGGTGGAAAAACAACCAAAATTTAAAAAAACAACGATATTCTCCAACTTTACTGAGCTACACAATTTAATGCAATTTTTTGGCTGTAAATTTTCACCTCATACAGCAGTTAACAGTTTAAACATTGCTCACAGTAGTTCAGCAGGTAATTGCCTTTATAATTCGTGGCGTAAACGATGAATGAATAACATTTTTCTACTCTGGATTACAGCAGTACTGATGCAAATGTTCACTCAATGACAGAAGATCAGCGGGCCCCCCTTTACTTAAATACAAGGAATAAACCTTCATATATTAAAGGTGTTTTACCAGTGCGTGGTAATATTGTACAACGTATGCAACACTTTGAAAAACGGCTTATATTTAGGATCTGATACTGGAAGGTAGCATCACTCAGTTATTACATTATTATGCCAATAGATGATCTCAAGGCTTGATGCTTTTTTAAAGCATAATCCATTCAATTATTAATTGAGGTTTGCATGTTCTCCCAATCCCTGTGTGCGTTCTCTCTGAGTACTCCGGCTTCCTCCCAGAGACCAAAGACACGAATGTTACAGTAATTGGCGAGACTAAATTGGCCATAGATGGGGACGTGAGTGTGTCATCTCTCTGTGTTGCTATGTGATTGACCATTTCAGCTGGGATAGGCTGTGCCCCCTCACCCGTAAGTACCATAAGTAACTAATAAAAATGGATTAAATAAATATTGAACTAAAATTTCCCAGGAAAATTCACGCTTCACGCCAGCTTCAGCTAATATAACACACTCTTGCAACACTGATGTGCTCACAGTCACACCTACTGCATGTGCTCATCTCTCTACACACTTTGAAATGAATGTGCAAGCATTGAGTGGCTACACTGATCCCTCACAAAACGTGGGAAAACAGACTGAGGAGGATTTCTATCTGTTGGTTTGATTTTAAATTAAAGGCTTAAAGTAATTATGCAAAGATACAAGATTTCCTTCGCCGTGTTTGTAGAGCGGAGCTGAGACAGCTAAAGTGAGGATAATGCTACTTAAGTCGATAACTTGTAAGGTTATTGTAAACGCACTGCAAAAACTTTGCGACAACAGTTTGAATGCACAGAAGCATTTGAAAAACATTTGACAGCTAACAGAAAACATACTTTAAAAACAACACAGTTGGCCCCATAAGCAGTCAGCTAGACTAATTTTTGGCAAGCTTTACAAACACAGCACAGAAATTAAACTCACCCCACGTCTCTGTCCAGCATGGTGCCGGGGTGGAAAGGGGGGAAAGTGCTACCGTTGGGGGGCTCCTTGGGGGAGTACAGCTTGAACGACTTGGAGGAACAGCCTGGAATAGAAGTGACGTATATATTTGTAATATACATTATTATATTTAACTTATGGCAGATGAAAACTTGTAACCTGACGGAGAACATGACGTGTGTATAGTAAGCATGCCAAATTTAGACACAAAAGATAAAGATAAAAAATTTATTAATTGAAAAAAAAGTAAACTTTTCAATATTGATAAAGCTGAGGTTATGGAAAAAAAACCAACAAAACCAAAGATGATGATGTCGAACAGGGCTGTACGAATCTGTAATACTGAGATTGAAAAGATGCAAAGGCCCACGATACGGCATCAGATCTTGCCTTACCTACTTGAAGCATGCTAGTATGGTAAAGTTGTCAGGTTTAAAGATTATCTGGCTAAAAACTGAAGCGGCGATACATAAATACATAGTTTCTTTTTTGGTCCATGATCCAATCATGATTGAATAACTGGACCTGTGCTAAAAATTGTTTTTTTTGAAAACCAAAGTAAAAAGTGGAGAACTGTTACACCTCTGATGCCTAATCAGCCTGAAATAACCAGTATGGTCCAGTTTTAACTGCACTCATTCCATGGTCTTCCCTGAATGGCTCATTTTTGGGGCATTAAAATATAAAACAACACAATGGAAGAAGCCTCATGCAGCACTACCATAGAAACTGGTGCCTTACCATGAAGTACTAAACAGTAAGTCAGAAGGAACCCCAAACACAAGAGAAAACATACTGATGACACTGACACACACACATAAAGATCCAGTCCCTGTTCTACTCTAATTGCCTGGCTCTCTTATAAAGGCCATCCAGGCGTGGCGGCCTCTGGGTCACGACCTCTGCGTCACCATGGTGAAGCCCCACCTCCTTCATATCTCTCTGTGGTGTCTCTGCATATTAAACATATTTATGTCACTGTATGTCTGAAGGAAAGATATAACCAAAGAGGGGGACTTGTCTCAGAGGAAAGTTTGTTATGAAATGAGAACACAGTGACGTAAGATGTATAGTAAACAGTTAAACCAGTAAAAAGTACTAGTAACACTTCATAACACATATCTGCAGACACACTGTGGTGAGGTGGGCAGACAGAGGCTGCCTAACCTTTAAAGTCACACACATTAGGATGTTGTTCCTATAAATCACTAATCTATGCATCCTTATGAAATCCATTCTAGTGAAAGGAGGAATTGCATTCAAATATGTTGTGAATAACAGCAGCGATCACAGCTTTTACAGACCCAGAGGTAAATTAATAAAAAAGTTTTCCGTAAAGAGTATAGAGCCATAAAACATTTCCATCTTTCTAAAAAGTTAAAAAGAAAAGGCAATAAAACACTCATCTATTTGAAACCCTGGCTTCAAATCGAGTTAAAAACAAGCTGTTTACTATGTGCAACACTATGCTATGGGCTGGATGCACCACCAGAAGACAGATAAATAAATAAATAATCGATTCTTTGTGTGTCCATTAGTTGTTGAGAGCTCCATTAGCTCCTCTCCTCTCCCGTTAGCGGTTAATGACAGGCAGTCACAATCACATCAGCTGGACTCCACTTCCTCCACTGGGAATCGTGTTCCTCTCTTTTACAAGCACACAGTACACAATGTCGACAGAAACATACACATTAAACATACACACATCTGCTTGTGGACAGAAACTTTTAGAGCAGATCATCTGTCAAACTGGCACGGATGCCAAAAAACACTCAACTATTGACTTTTCTTCATGCTCAGCCGCCAAAAATCCACCCAACATCACAACATCACGTCTCCTCTAAATGGGGATATAACCTGTCGTGGTTGTGCACTCCTGCCACTCAAGACTGCCACCATGATTGGTACAAGGGACAAGATAAGGGACAAGTATCCAAACGGAATTTGTGAGCCGGATAAACCTGAACCACATTGTTAAACTTTGAACGTAAAGTGACACCGGTTTAGGTTATTTCGGCATCTATGCTTCATAAATTTAACTGCTAAAGAAGATTGGATGTAGAGTTGCTACAAAGGCAATTAGAATGGCACCAAGCTAGCATATAGTTGCTAGCTAGGCTAAATTTTTTACGGGACTCGAGCGAGCTTAACAACAAAACGCCAAACAATAATAATCTGAAAAGCAATACATTTATGTGAACAAACAAGACACAATACATAATCCCGATCCCCTCAACCACAGCGACGGTGACTGTGTACAACACTGCCTCGTAGGCCTGCAAGGTAGGCTAACGTCAGCTAGCCTGAAAACTGTTTGTAACCAGTTAGCTGGTTTTAGCCTTCCTGCTAACGCCTTAGCGTTAAATCCCTTCGCAACGAAAAAACACTCAAAAAGAGGAGCAATTACACCGGCGGCAGTTCCTACACCAACTGTAAACGTTAAAAAAGCTAAACGTTAGAGTCGAGTAGTGTGTTTGGAGGAAAGGCGACCCTTTACCTGCAAAGAAGTCCTATCAGAAAATTGATGTTTACAGATCCGTGCTGATAGACCGTGTGTACGCTCCGTGCGTAAAAACGGATAGGCCCGCTGGACGGCGGTTGGCTGGACGCAACGTACCCACACAATACGTCCCTTTGAATTGGATCAATAAAAAAATCTCCTCCAAACGGAATAAGGCCTAAATTGCGGGAGTCTGTCGGTTATGTTTTGTCCCGCATGAGGCCTTGTCAGTGGGCTGAAGCCTGCTGTGGGTTTACATATGGACCCCGATGAGCCCTTTGTTCACGGGAGGACATGAACAATAGCTGTAGGCCCTCCTCCTCCTCTCCCTCTGCAATGCATTTGCTCCTCTCTCCTCTGCCCAGCACCGCCAGCCGCCCTCTCCCACTTCTGCTCCTCCTCCCCCCACTAATGCACAACTGCACATAAAGGTTGTCTGGTAAGCATTTTTCCCTTCCTCCTCCCTGCATCCCATATCCCTTCCTTGTAACTGACACAGATGAGAATTGTCCTAATGCAACTCAGTGGAGATGAGCGTGGAGACAAAGATCATGCTGACTGCAAAGTGGCTGTCATGTTTACCTAATTAGTGAACATAGGCTTGCTGCAATCAGCTTGAGCTGAGGCAGTGACAACCAAGACCCTGGGCCCAAGCAGGATGCAAACGTGATGCACATAGATATTACTGCCAGAGATCAGTAATATCTTCCCCACTCGCTGTCTGAGGAGGGTGCACAGTATCCTGCGGGACCAACATCACCCTGCGCGCCACCTTTTCCATCTGCTGCCCTCAGGGAGAAGGTACAGGTCTATACAGGCCAGAACATCCAGACTGGCCAACAGCCTGTATCCACAGGCTGTGAGGCTCCTGAACTCTCTGCCCCCCTCTCACGGACAATAACCATATCCAACTTCTTAATAGCAATGAACTGGTCTGCATTGGTGCATCATATCTTTATTCTCTTCCCCTCCTGCCCCCCCCTCTTTCTTAAATAGATAACTATCATATCTGATATCATATCTCACAGTACAATAATATTGAATGGGTTGCATTGTTGTATTTTGTCATGTTTCTCAGGTCTTTGTCTGAATTTCTACGAACATTATTGCTAAGGATTGTCTTATTGCATTGGAGTCACACTGGGTTAAATATGTACACTTGGGTTTTAAGGGGTATTTATTATTTTTTTTTTTTTTTTTTTTTTTTTTTTTTTTTTTTTGGTTGTATGGAAGCCCCAAACGCAATTTCATTGTTCTTGACAATGACAATAAATAAATAAATACTAAATACTAATACATTTGCAGTGGAGCAGTCCCATTGGTCAAAAGTACACCAAGATCTTATAAATTTACACTTAAAGACAGCAGAATAAGTTTGTCAGTTAATTCTGCCTTTCAGTTTGTATGCTGAACTGCCCAAGGTGGACGAGTAAATCCCCTAACATCAGGAATCTCTATACCCTCTTTTCCTCTCTGAGTCTGCGCGCACACACACAGATCCACGCACACACACAAAGCACTAAGCCAAAAGGAGAATCCCACAGGCTTCTAAATCTGCTTAAATCGCCTCAAATAATAATCAGATATTCAGATCACAGCCAGCAGAGATCTCACCCATATGTCCAAAGTTGTGATATAAAAAGAACAAGCAGTATTAGGACAGCAATTTTTCCATATTTATGCAAGCGTCATATCTAACACGCAAACTATTTGATCTACAGCATCTAACCCCAAAGGACAGAAAAGACAGATTATCCCATATCGAGGATGTAAAGTAGTTTCCTTTCACCCACTAAAGAACTTTCCCTTCCTGCTGCACTCTTTAGGTTGTTACAGCCACCAGCACGAACACGGTTCTCATTAATACACCACCCATGCACACTGGGAGTGAAAACAATGTTTCATAAATGATTTATTCATAAATTAAGCCGCTGTTGCGAGCTGCTCAGTAAACAGGTCTTCACAGAGGGAGTGAGACTAAACACTGGTGCTGATCAGTAATATGACATTATTGCAACATTATAATAACATTTATCATCAGCGTCGTTATTATTATTATTATCATCATCATTATTAATATTACATTCATCTTCACCTTTTAACTGCACTATAGATAACACATATAAATGACTGGAAATATATACACCAAAGCGGACATGAGTAGAAATGTGATTTTTTTTTAAGTTTCTTTTTACACATTTTGGTATGCAGAACAATTTAAACTTCAAGCATCAGTTAAACAAGTTATTTCAGTGGGTTATGACTTGCTGCCTTTGTCTGATATTTAAAATCCCATTTGTTGTTCTGATGGTGTAATATTTTATCCTGAACCAGACTTGCACTGGGGTGTATTTGCAGTGGTATGCAGTTTGTGTGCCCGTATACATGTTGCTCCATGATTCTTTATTACATTGTACACATGATATAAATACATGATAGTTTTAATGCAATAATCTAATTCTCAGTTACTTATAAGTCATTTAAATGTGTGCAGTAGATATAAGTAAAGATGCAATTTTTGCACATTTTTTTAAACATTATTCTCACATTTTCATCCAGATTTCTTTTTACTATTATTACTATGTTATATTTTTTAATTCATGCCGGCATTTTGATACACTGAATCTAGGTGTAATACATTTTATTGTATTTTTATTTTTATGCTTTTTTCCATTTATACATTTAAAATACTTGTGTATGTTTTTCAAGTGATGGATCTGTTTGTTGGACATCTATCCCACCGGGATCTGCTGCTCTTATATGCCCAAAATGAAGACAGCAACTCAAATATGAACCTCTTTGTAGACTCTGATGTATGAAATCCAGAGTATGGTGAAGTGCACTGTCTCCCAGAGCCAGGCATGTAGAGAGGATAAGCCTCTATAAGGCCTGTCTCTCACCCGACCAGCAGCAAAGATGCCCGGGCTGACTTTATGTATATTGGTTTGACCATGGTAAGCCTGTGACATGAGCTCTTCACAGCTCACGAGGCTGCTGTCAGTCCTTTGGCAGCATCTTTGTGTGTCTAGTACCAGGGGGAGGTGTAGTCTGTTGTAGCTAAGAGTGTCTGTTGTGGGTGACTTATGTGGATTTGCCTATCTTACATTGGCTGGCCCCTGTCACTATGGCAACATGAGCAATCATTGCTGACACAACCAGAGAGAGAGGCTAAGAAACATCCATGGAAATGGACACACAAGGGTTAATCCTGTGTGTGTGTGTGTCTCCCCAAGCTCACCCATTGAAATGGTACATGACGGGGTTAATCCCCAGTGCATGTGTGTGTGGTGGGGTGTTGGAGAGGAGGTGGGGGTGGGAGGTGTGTCAGGATAAGGCTTGAAGGGCTTACACACACCATCTCCTTTGCTCTCAGGCATAGGGACAGCCTTATCTTCAACCAGCACCCCAACCAGTGAGGCACACGGGTACACTCACACAGATCTGCCCAACCCTCGCTTCGTCAGCTTGCCTCATTTTCCTGCAGTTAAACATTCACACCTAAAGCCATAAAGCCATGTATAATAAGTGCTCAAAGCGGACACACATGGTGTTTTCACTAAGCCTACACTTTAAACCCACAAGTGCAACCTGTTTAAATTGACCTTTGTTAAAGTCAATAAAAAGAGAGTAAGAGACTGAACTTGTACAGCATTTTGGTATAAATATGCTGTACTAGTTCTTGCTTTTAAATAAAAGACAAATCAGAAATTCTTCTTTTCGACCGTTTTATTTGACCTCAGAGGTTTTTGTTACCTCGTCAGCTGTGAGAAAGGCAAAAAGGAAAAGGTCAGCAAGACAGACTTACCTCCTTCAGACTCTAGCTGTTCTGACATCGCCATTTTGTCACCTACAAATGCACTTTCACGGCTACACACTGATCTAACTCAGAGCCTGAGTCTGTGTTTTCATGCCTCTCCCACTCTCTGATATCTTCCATGTCCAGACTGTCAGGCTCAGGGGCACGAGGAGGGGGAAGGAGGATGCCTACAGTCTGTGTGTGTGTGTGTGTGTCTGCCTCGCATGTGCATGTGTGTGCGTGCATGCTATCGTGCACATGTGCAAATGTGTGCAATGTGCCACTTCCACTTACTAGTCCACAGGAAACTCAACTGCACATGCATCTGCCAGAGTTCTGATAAGAACCATTCCCGCCAGCCTCCCTTCAGTACAATCCTAAGCACTGATCTCAGGACAGTTTTGTGTCGGTTTGACTGCAGAAAAAGCCCTGACCGAGCTGATCCCAGCTCAAAGATGAGTTCCAACTGGAGAATGAGTGACATCAGTTAAGTGCTGTTTTTTCCGTTTTTTCCCCAAACAGGAATGAAAACAGAACCACTCCTCTTTTCATAGATAGCATTCACTGCATTTCTTTCCCAAAGCTAAAAGCATGCCTACTGTTTCTCGACTTTTCCCACTTCACAATATTAAATAAGTACTTTAGACACATCAGTGGCACACACTGTCCACACGGAGGCTAGCTACATGTCTCTGGGGCTCGTTTCACTGGTGTCTGCCTGCCAGATTTGATACATTTGGCAGCTCAGGCCTCTTTACTCCTTTATTGGATCAGATGGGGGGGGACAGAGATCTCTCTGTCTGATTCAGCTCTGATAAAAGATCCAAAAGACAAGCTGCCACTTTTTGGAGGAATGAGCTCTAACAGTGGCCAGCTTTAGATCAAAGAGACTGTGAGCCAGAAGAGCTGCAGACACTTAACTGACGCAGAACTTCAGCTGTAGTTATTTTAATGGACTCAAGGTTTAGGGTTAAAGCAAAATGTCTTATCTCAACAGAGAAACGTACAACAGAAGAAAGTAGCATTCACATTAATTAGCAGCATGGTGGCTCACAGCAAGAGGATTTCTTTGTGGAGTTCAAATGATCTCCCTCAGCCTGGGAAGGTTTTCTCTAGTTACTTCTGCCACTGAACAGCATCCCATCTGGGCCCAGGACACACTCACAAAAGAGATTCCTAATCTCAAGAGTTGTACTTAGTTATTACATGAGGGCAAAGTACTAGGTTGGACCCCCTTTTCCCTTCAGAACTGCTTCAATTCTTTATGGCACAGATTCAACAAGGTGCTGGAAACATTCCTCTGAGATTTTGGTCTGTATTGATATGATAACACATTTGCTGCACGTCCATAATGTGAATCTTCTGTTGCACCACATCCCAAAAGTGCTCTGTTGGATTTCGATTCTATGACTGTGGAGCACATTAGAGTACAGTGAACTCATTGTTATGATCAAGAAACCACTATAAGATGATTTGACTTTGTGACATGGGATGATATCCTACTGGGAGCAGCGATCAGAAGATGGGTAGACTGTGGTCATAAAGGGATGGAGATGGTAGGCTGTGGCATTTAAACAATGCTCAGCTGCTAGTAAGGGGGACAAAGTGTGCCAAGAAAATATGTCCCACATATTACACCACCAGTAGCAGTCTGAATTGTTGGTAAAAGGCAGGGTGGATCCATGCTTTCATGTTGTTTGTTGAGGCAATGTTTTTCCAATCTTGTATTGTCCAATTTTGGTCAACTTGTCCAAATCAAAGCCTCAGATTTCCTATTCTCATCTGACAGGAATAGGTTTTCTGCTGCTGTAGCTCACCTGCTTCAAAGTTTGGCGTGTTGTGCATTCAGTGATACTCTTTGTCATTCTTTGGTTGTGATA